GAGGGTGACAGAGCATTGGAACAGGTTGCCCAGAGAGGTAGTGGGGTCTCCTTCCCTGGAGATATTCAAAACCCGCCTGGATGTGATCCTGGGCAATATGCTCTAGAGGACCCTGCTTGAGCTGGGAGGTTGGACAAGATGATCTCCAGAGGTCCCTTCCAACCTAAACAATTCTCTGTGTGATTCTGAGATTGCTGGGAGAGCTAAGAAATAAACATGATTCTGTACATAAACGTTAAAACTGTACAAATCCTTTCTCCCCTCCCACACAGGCCTTATGACCGCTACAGAAAATCTAGAGAAAGCCTACATTTATCGCTATCGATGAAGCGACAAGATCAGATGCTCAAGGGCAGCAATGGTCGCAGAGTGACTCACTTAGAGCCTGCACAACTTCATGAAAGCTGCAGCTCCCGGGGCTGGAGCGCTGGCCCTGTGCACCGCCACGCATCCAGTTTCTCACCTCGTGCTGCTACCAAATGCTGAAGCAGAGAGAAAGGCAGGCTAGCCCTGCAGCCTTTGCTCAGTGGGTACACGTGACAACGTGGATAAGATATACAGTGGAGGAAGACAATTAGGGCTTTCCTTCACCCTGTCTTCTGATGTGCCTTATTTCACACTCAAAAGACCCTAGGAGATCCCACTGTCATCCAAGGCATGCTCCCTATAGAGAATGACAGTGTAATGCCAGTAGACAAATCTAGCACTCTTTCTACAAAATAATAAAAGCAGGGTCAGCCCGGGAAAGTGCTTGAGTCTATACAGAAAATGTTGTCCATCCATGTGTTTCTTTTTCCCGTTCCCTTTTGCCATATGATTAAAAAAATTGAAGTTTTTCCAGCACCCAGTAAAAGAACAAACTAAACGAATATTCTACGTACTAAAAAACAAAAAACTTTAAAAAAGCAACCAAAACAATAAGAAACTGCTCAGATTTGAGGCTGGGTTTCTTTTACATTCACTACCTACATGATACGTTCAGAATCCAAGGAAAAACAAAGACACTTAAGTGGAAGAACCATGCAGCGAGTGAAATCCAGCAGAAAGAATAACAGAGGCAAGTGTTCCCCCTTGCTGTATTGCTCAGACCTACTAGAGCCCTAGGCAAGCTCTGTAAATGCTTTCGGTCTCAGCTTGTAATTTATTACGGATTGGGAGAATAACATCTTATCCCCTTCCTTCCCCTCTCTCAGCTGTTCTGCTAAGAGCAGAGTTCTGCTTTACATTTGTAAAGCTACAAGTTCCCAAAACCTAAAAGGACTGCAAAATACAGCTACGGAGATCACAAATTTACAGTCCCATTGGCTTGGGCATTAATATTCACAGCAGTTGTATGATACTTCTAACAGTCAGCACGATACCGAAGAAGACAGACCTAGCCACCACACTTAAGCTGTACTACAATTAAGCCTTCCTCAAGAGCTATCACATAGACTTGTAAAATTAGCCTTCTGGCTGTCTCACTGCTCCCTCTCTCTTCCCAAATCTTTCCCCAAAGAAGTACTGAAGAGGAGACTAGCAAGTCAACAAGGGGCAAAA